TATATTCTATAGTGCAATTAGCTGGGAATAAAAAATAATTAAACAATTTTTGTATTTTACTAATAAAAAAGGAAACAATACTTCAATGACTCCTTCAGAAGTCCCACTTCCAACCATTTAACAGAAGTCAGATAGTTCATCGAGAACAAATAACTGCATATATGGGAGAAACTGCTTAGTCAATTTTGTTAAAAATATGTAAACTTTGGTTATTAGAAGTGTTTCTATTATTAGAAGTGTTTCCATTATTCTATTTGGTATATTACAAGTGTTCATCTGTGACCTTACTCCATTAGACCAGATTATGTTCTTAATTACTTAATTTTTAGGTATAGCAATCTATATTACAGGTAAATGTTATGTCAGACACACGGGGTATTTAAAAAAAAAAATCCGATCCAGATCATAGTGGCTAGTAGTGTTGCTATGATCCAGGAGTTTCTTTCTTAATGGTCTTTACCAGCTATTCCCCTCTCCTGGGTACTGTCCTGCCCACTCCTCATCCTTATCTACCTCAGATCCTAGGAATGAGCTTCCTAGCTACAAAAGACCTTAAAATATTTAATAAATAATACGAGGCCCCTACATGGACAAAATGTGATGCTTGGCCAACAGAGGGAACCTTGAACAACAATTCCTAAAATGGCCGGGCAGTGGGCACACACCTTTAGTCCCAGCACTCAGGTGGGAGAGCCAGGCTGATCTCTGTGAGTTCAAGGGCAGCCTGGTCTACAGATCGAGATCCAGGACAGGCACCAAAACTACACAAAGAAACCCTGTCTTGAAAAAAAAAAAAGAAAGAAAGAAAGAAAAGAAAAGAAAGAAAAGAAAATTCCTAAAATGAAGCTGTGTCTGGCTGTGAACAAAATCTCTTGAAATGAAACCATGTCTGCAGAGCCTGATTAGAATCTCATTACTGTGGAGAGAGTGGAATTTTATAGGTTCAGAGGCTAATTACCTTATTGGGCTACTTCTAGCCCTCTGGAACAGTGGTTTCTTGCTCACCTCTGTGTTGGAACTGACATCTTATGACTGAATAGATAGAGAGCTTTTGGAATCTATTAACTTAGCAAGCCACTAGCTTCCACCAATCCAAAAGCCAAGAATGTCATCAGAGGGGCTGGAGAGATGGTTCAGTGGTAAAGTGCACAGACTGCTCTTCCAGAGGATCTGGGTTCAAGTCCCAGCATCCACATGTCGGCTCACAACTGTGTGTGACTCCAATTCCAGGGGATCTGACACCCTCACACAGATATGATGCAGACAAAACACCAATGAACATAAAATAAAAATAAAAAAGAATGTCATCAGATACATCTTGGTCCTGTAGGAAAGCTCCCCCATTTCACTGTCCCTGTCTCTCTGATGGACCCACCAGTGTATTTTAAACTTGCTTTGATTTATGACTTTCTTTGTTCTATACAACTATGAAACTTCATGCTTCCATGTTAGGACATGGAATTTGGGGTGTCTTAAATCTGTGTTCCCAGGCCACAACCACTCAAAATGGCTCCAAAATAAGCTATATTTTATTCCCTTAGATGGAGGAGGGGGTGGGGAAGAGGAGCAGGAGGA